ATATCATAGTTAAATATATATATATATATATATATATATATATATATATATGGCTATAACGAGCGATACTCTCGTAAGTAAAACTTTTAAATTTGGCACAAACGGTACATTGTGTTGCATCCACACGTCCTGACATAATAAACATCATTTAAAAAATGTACCTTCCTTTGGTACACCTTTTCCTATCAAGCTTTATTTTACACTTTTTAAGCGCAGAACCATTAAACTGGATCTTACGTGAGTGTTCTCCTACTGTCCCTTTTTACAGTATACTATTTATCCATGGGAATTCCCCCTTTTACTGTAATTCACATTGTGTAATAAAAAATGTCATCTCTCGATGCTCCTTAAGCAACAATACTTATTCCGAAAACGAGTAACCCTTTTTTACCAAACAAATCGACTGCGTTCTGCCTCGTTCAGTTCTGTGGGTTAAACCGGGAATGGGCGGGTTACAAGTAAGGTTTGGTTGCTATGCCGTTGATGACAGCCAGCCCATTCACCCAAGTTCACCCCAAGACCTTCAACCTCTCCCACTGAACAAATATTGTTATTCCAATAGACCCATGATTCTCGTACATAGCTCGGATTGCACCGTAAGCCCAAAACTCGTCCCTGGTCATAGTTACTGTGGTCAGCTTTGATTACTGAGCCATCGTCAATGTTAGAGCAACTACGAGCAAATGTACTTTAGCTGTAGTGAGCACGACACTGCGTCATCCTTCGTGCATATCGAATGGTGTCCCACTTGGTTGTCACAAGCATGGCTTCACCGACCCACCCATTCGACGTCCGTCACAGAGCTCGACACGTTGCACGACTGAGGTCTGCCTCATTTCAGCACAGAAATAGCGTGGGAAGACAGGTGGTCGATCTGGGGCGTAGAAAAAATGTATGATCAATTGACCAATGAGGTGCGCTGAACGGAAGCGGATCCAACCACAGTGTTTCTTTCTCAAGTCTAAGTGATGGTTTCTCATTTCCAAATGACGGCAAATGAAAATAATAGTTTCTCAAAGCTATCTTAAAATGGTATAGACAAACCCGCTTGCCTGTGTGTCCAACACTGTTCTCCTTAGTTTTTTTGTGTGTAACCGATCGCTAATCATACTGGGTTGTGTTATATCGTGTATATTGAAAACGAGTAACGGTCTGATCAGTAGTATGCTTGCATTCTTCCTGTACTGAGGTCCCGGGTTCGCGGTCCTCAGTTTGGGTCGATGAATTCACGCGCTGCACGGACGAAACGCAAACAGGTCAAAACAGCTGTCCAGTAATGCCTCCTAGCTTTTCAGCTCACACCTCATTTGCACGACAAATATAATCATCTAATCACTCGTTTTGTTGCTTAGTCATGGTTCTTCTCTCGGTTTCGAATTTCTCCATGCTCAAAGCTGATACAGATTTGGTTTACCTCTTCCAACTCAACCATTTCAAGTGTTGTGAGATACTACTCAAAAGGATGTGATCAGCGGTTTCTTCCAACAATCAAAAATGAATAAAACCTGCTGGAGCAAACTGCTGCTGTGCAGTATGGTGAAAAAAAGAATCAACTATCCTGTGCGTGTGTGTGTGCGGGAATTCTGAAAACTTGTTTCAAATGAGATATTTTGTTGTATAAATGACAATTTAACCATATTCTGACCGTTATTGACAACAAAAACTATCCTCAACTAGTCACCGCCTTGTGGAATCATCAGACAAATAGTGCCTACCAAGCCGATCAGGGTTTGAAGCGGTGCGGGGGGATAACAGTCGCATGCACTGAAACTGTACGAGATGTGTTCAATGGTTTGGTGATACGCGCACCGCGGTTAAACCTTTTCCAATCAACGTGTGGTGCGACACGCCACCGCCACACCTCATTTCTTAATCAAGCTTTGCAATATCAGCATTTGTAGAAAATAATTTTTTTCCAACTTTCGTTGACCTCAGAGTATATTCCGATACTTTCTGATCTAACTCGCCTACAGCAACGGTGTGACTAAAGTTTGTGCGTCGAGGCTAATGGACTGACGGGTGGTAGCTAAAGAACTGCGGGTTTTGGTTAAATTTGTAGTTCTTGCACGGGATACTGTCATTCTCTTCGTTTTAATTTAGACCGGCTCCCTCACCCCGTGTGAAGCAGTTTGCGTTCAGCTGGGCAGTGAGTTCTAGTGAGGTGCATATCCTAGAGTTTAGTATTCAAGAGGAGTAATCACTGCTGAGACTGACTGTCTTCTAAACTAAGTCCAAATGTTCTCGATCAGACTGAGCCGAACATCAATGTTAGTTGTCAATGTTTGCCGAAATTTCTAGTCTTATGGTTACTTAAATTGATTACTGATGTACTGTACTCCTTCATTCATTTACATCTCAACACTTTCCTTTCGAAGTCGCTGGTCTGTTGGCATCAGGTACACCTGTTTGTTTTTCTCATTGTCTGTTCTTGTTCATTGGTTCATGATCAATTGGTCTCATCG